GTCCAGTCAGAACCCACACCCTTCCCAGCCTGCAGAACCAAGAAGTGGCCGTGACCCTGGAGGTTTGGTTCCAGAATCAGAGAGCGAAACTCAGGAAAGCTGAATACAAGCATCCGCAGCAAAAACAAGAACCCAGACAACAGCAGTTAGCTGGGGGGAGTCAAGACCGGCTCTTCCTGGAGAAATACGCTCCTACCCTGCTTCCTCGGTTTACGCAGATCGCCCAATACCTTCCTTCCAACCCTGCACGTGCCCCAGTTTGAAGGCTCCCCCAGACCATTCTGTTGGCCACCAAACAGTCCACCTTGGCTGCCGCCAAGATCCTAACATCTCCCTTTGTCCCGTTTAGGGATCTCAGATTCTTCCCACCAGCTTCACTGCTAATTCCTTTGCTTCTGCATTGCCACCAAGAACCTTAGGAGAGAAGCTAGACACAAAAAGCCACATACCGTGATTTGCCATGATGCCAAACGGGGCTGATAGAAGATCTACACAACACGGATGCATTTCAAAGCATTCTGCTCTGCGAAAGAATAAAGACACGGAAGTGCCCATGTGGTGGAATTGAGCAGAAGGAGGCAGTAACGCTTCTTGGGATGGTGACGTTTCATGTCTTAATTAGGTTGGTGGTTACCCGGATGTACAAACTCATCGAAAGACACAGAACTCTAATACTATGTACACCACAAAGAAACAGCCATGTGATAGGATGGAGGCGTCAGCTAACGCCACGGCGGTAACCCTTTTGCATTCTATAAATATCAAATCAGCACCTTTGTGTACCCCTTAAACTCGCACAGGGTTATGTGGCAATTCACTCTATGCATCAAGTCAATCTCAGTAAACCTGGAGGGAATAAATGTTTTAATTATGTCTCAATAAAATATATATACATAGGTCATGAATTGGAAGAATAGATATTGTTAAAATGTCGATACTCCCCAAAGCAATCTACATAATCAATGCAATCCCTATCAAAATAACACCAGCATTCTTCACAGAGCTAGAACAATCCTAAAATTTGTATGGAACTAGAAAAGACCCCAAATAGCCAAAGCAATCCTGAAAAAGAAAACCAAAGCCGGAGGCGTCACAATTCTGGACTTCAAGATGTATTACAAAGCTGTAATAATCAAGATAGTATGGTACTGGCACAAAAACAGACACTCAGATCAATGGAACAGAACAGAGAACCCACAAACATGGCCAACTAATCTTTG